ATTGACTTCTAATTGCCACAAATCTCATCTTATCACAAAAGTGATCATGGTGTTAGAAACCAATGATTTGAATCTTTTTGAGGTTTTGAATTAAGTTTATTGTCACATGTACTCACATGAGTTCAGTGAAAAGTTTACATGTCACCACTTACAGCACCATCTTAGGTGCAAAGGTACCGAAGTAAAGAAGCTTGGTACCAAGCAGAAAAATAAAGAAAACAAAGTTAAAGAGTTAAACATTACAGTCCTTCTTACTAAAATGTAGAAAAACAAAGAAACACAGTTAACCATTCAACGCCAAAGGCCATAAGCGCCTGGCCATGCTGGGCTCACACTCCTCACACAGGCTCGATAACAGACAAGTGAGTTAAAATCAACATTTTACCCAAAGCCAATTAAACCAGCCAGCAAGCATGCCTTGGAAGATACAAAAATGCCCTCAACTTTTAGTTTGGTTTCTACCTTTATAAGAATGCCCACACATTAGAGACGAAACTAAGAATGTAGCATTGAACTCTCTCTCTCTGCCTCTCAAAAAGGAAAAAAAAAATTGCCTGGTGACAATACTGATTAAAAGAAATATCAGAATACAGAGAACTTAAGCACTAACTATAACACTCACAATTGTTGTTGCCTCAAGGCACCAACGAAACAAATGTGCTCTCAGGTTAAAAACCTTATGCTGCAGGACATCCCAAGGACTTCACATTGTACATTTATACTGGACACATAGCACTTTGCACATTTGTACATGTATGGGTGCCCAAGTAATTTCACAGAGTCATATGATTGATGTTGCATCTTTATCATTTCACTCAGGATAATAACATCGCTCATCTTTAACGCAAGGAAACATTGCGATTGGCTGTTTACTGCTACATTAAAAAGGGTAAATGACATTTTTATTGGAAAAAGATTTGGTTGAGGGCTAAAAAAGTAATTTAAATATTTGTTCCAACGACCAGGAAGTTGAAAAGAGTGAAGTTTCACTTGCTGTTGATCAGGTCTTAACACTTGAAACCAAAGATCAGTCTAACCAGCTTGAATGTATTATGGAACATCCATAGCTCTCTAGATAAAGAATTCGAAAGATTCACAGCCCTTTTCATATTTCTATCTAACTCTGCATCAGCAGCAAACTTACATACAATTGGTCTCTGAATTTCTTTGTCTAAATCATTAACATAGCTCGCAAATTGTTGAGCCCCTCAGCCCTGATTCTTGTGGCGTTACACTAGTTCCATCGGCAATTATCCCTAATCTCTAATTCTTGTCAATTAATTAATGTTTTATCTATGCTAATATAGGGCGGCATGGTGGCTCAGTGGTTAGCGCCAGGGACCCAGGTTTGATTCCAGCCTTGGGCGACTGTCTGTGTGGAATTTGGACATTCTCCCTGTGTCTGTGTAGGTTTCCTCCCACAGTCCAAAGATGTGCAGGCTAGGTGGATTGACCATGCTAAATTGTCCGTAGTGCACAGGGACGTTTAGGTTAGGTGGGAAATACAGGGGTAGGGGAACAGGTCTAGGTGCAATGCTCTTCAGAGGGAGAGTGTGGACTTGTTGGGCCAAATGGCCTGTTTCCACACTATAGGGATTCTATGATCTATATTGCTGGCAATTACATGAGCCAATATCTTATTTAGTAACATTGTATGATACCTTACCAAATGCCTGTTGGAAATCAAATTTATTACATCCATTGCTTCTCCTTTATCTACCTTAACAGTTATATATTTAAAAAGATAATAAATTTATCAAGCTCAATTTTCCTTTGTTTGATGCGATTATTATTTTATAATCCCATTGTTAAGACTTTGGTTAAAAACAATATGCTTCAGGGGTCAGCTAGTTCAATTGATGTGGTATCATTAGATTAATCTTGGTGATGGGCATTGCAGTTCTGCATTCAGAGATTAGGCTGTGCCCTTCCAAGTGGTAAAAATGGAGGAACACCAATTCATCACCTGGGAAAAGGTGATAAATGATAATTAGGTTTCTTTTGTTCCTATTTGACCCAATGTCATGAGATTCCATGGGGTCCAACACAGTTAGTGTTCTGCAACCTCAAATAGGTCTGGTTAGGTGTTGAGACAGGATGAACACAGGTCTGGTGATGGAGGAGTCTGGGACATTGATAGGTATAATTTGGTTAGTCTGGCAATGTTAGGCTGTTGCTTATGTTATGGACTAGACCAAAAACCCTCAAAATATATTCAGAAGATAGTCTAGACACCAACCTTTTCTTATTTTAAAAGGTAAGTGTAGGGTGTTGCGTTCCAGATGCAATTCAATCGGTCAAACTTCTTGATGTTAAGCAAAATACACTTTATTCAAACACTATTGTTAAGATGCAACAAAAGAAAGAAGAAATTGGAATAACTTACTCTATCAGAAAACCTAATAGAACGATAGATTATTAAACTACTAAACAATAACTGTTCCAATGTAGTAACATCCCATAAACAGACCCTTTGGCAAAGGCAAATTCAGTAAAGTAGATTATCTCTCATGCAAACCTAGCAGCAGAAAGAGAACTTTAGCTGTAACAGAGAGAGGAATAATAGCTTCCACATCCAGCTTCAAGTCCCTATCATTTGCTACTGAAAAACTAAAACTAAAAATCATGGGTCTGTGGGTCCTTGGCCTACCCATTCAGACTGCTTCAATTGTTCCCTATTTTAAACAAAAAACAAGGCCTCAAAAGCCGTTTGCTTTACGGGCTTTCAAAAGACAGCTCACCAACTCTGTCTTAAAACCTCTCTTTCAAAATAATAAGAAAAAACACGTGTCTTAAAGCCATAGTATTGTCATACTTGATGAATCATTGAACAGAAATTGTCATGAGGGACTTGAATTGGATTTCCAGTGAATGACAGAAGCACCATGGTACCAGGCATACTACACAGTATAAGGTAGAGTGTTGTCATACTTGATTAACATTTAGATTCAGGGGAGGAATAGGATACATAAGTGCCTTGTGTAATTTTTGTCACTTATTTTTATTATTCATCCCTGTTTTGTGGGTGGCGCTGGTAAGATCAGTATGAACGGTTGTAGAATAGAAGGACCTAGGGGTGTAGGTACATAATTCTTTGAAGTTTGCGTCACGTGTAGACAGGATGGTTAAAAAGGCATTTGGCACGCTTGCCTTCATTGTTCAGTCCTTTGAGTATAGGAGTTGGGAAGTCGTGTTGAGGCTTGACAGGACATTGGTGAAGCTTCTTCTGAAGTAGTGTCCAGTTCTGGTTCCCCAGTTATAGGAAGGATATTATTAAGCTGGAAAAGATTTACCAGGATGTTGGTGGGTATGGAAGGTTTGAGTTATAAAGAAAGGCAGGATAGGCTGGGACTTTTTCCACTGGAGCACAGGAGATTGAGGGTGACCTTATAGAAGTTTATAAAATAATGAGGAGTATAGTTAGAGTTAATAGCAGTTACCTTTCCCCTATTATAGGGGATGTCAAGGCTAGGGGGCACATTTTTAAGGTGAGAGGAGAGAGATTTATAAAAAGACATGAGGGGGCAAATTGTTTACATAGAAAATGGTTTAGGTGTGGATTTAACTTCCTGAGGAAGTGGTGGATGTGGGTACAATTACAACATTTGAAAGACATTTGGGTAAGTACAAACGTAGAAAAGGGTTGGAGGGATATGGGCCAGGAGCAGACAGGTGGGACTAATTTAGTTTGGGATTATGTTTGGCATGGACTGGTTGGACTGAAGGGTCTGTTTCTGTCCTGTATGATTCTATGACTCTATGACCAGTTGCCTTAATTGAGTATTGCTAAGCCAGTGAGTTGGGCCAGTCCCAACGTTTCCATCACAGCCTGCTGCCTAGGCCTCGATGCAGCGTAAGGGAAATGAAGGCATACCCATTATGATGCCAGAGGGTCTGGGATTGATCCTTAAGAGCATCAGTGGTGAAATTTCTGTCGCAATTTTTAGGTATTACTATTTTTTTGTTTTTATTAACTATTTAATGTTATATTTACTGTTTAACTATAAGTGTAATGATTTTGCAATTGGAGTTAGTTTTGTTATTTAATGATTTCTAGTGAATGAGGAAACAGCCTGGCAATGGGTGTAGTGGTATGAAATGAGGTGAAGCTGTGTCGGAGAATATCCGGGGATATCAGGGAAGGGGTTATGGGTCTTGGTGGAGAGAGGGTAGATCTGAGTGAGATCAGTATGATGAGGGCAATTTTGAGGGGGTGGGGGTTGGGGAGCCATTGATGCAGGTTGGTTTAATAGTTACTCAGGAATTAGGGTAATTCCTTTAGCTTTTCCTGGGTAACCTTTAGTCAGAACCATCCTAAGTGTTGAACTGTAAATCAGAATTCCAGACGAAAAGGTTCCTAATGCTGATAATTGCCCAACAAAAGTTTTAATTTGGCAGGTAATTCCTAAGAAGTCAGCTGCATCAGGACTTGCGCGTGGTAAAAATCATGCAGTTCCCTCCCCAAGGGCATTGTGAGTTTACTTACAGCAAATCGAGCGCAGCAGTTCAAGAAGGCAGCTCACCACCACTTCCTCAAGGGCAACCAGGGACAGGCAATAAATGTTGACCTACCCACACCCAATGAGTGAATTAAAGAAAATATGATTTCCCTTTCACAACTTCTGCCTTTTCTAAGTGTCTGCTATCATAATAATAATAGCTAAACTTCATTAATAATTGACAATTCTTGTCCAGATTGCTACAATATGAAGATCTGAGCCATTTATTTATAGCTAATCTGATAAATGCTGGTGTTGCAAGTGTTAAGGATCTTTGACATTTCTCTTTCTATATTCTTTTCATGAATTGCACCTGTTTAAAGAGGGAAAAAAATATCCTCATTCCAATAAGATAAGTGATAACATATGTTTCAAAGTTGAACTTAATTTTAGATTTGCTCAGAATCTGGTCAAACTAGGAAGTGGCCTCCTTTTATGCAAATAGTTAAACAACAGGAATGATTCATAAGCTGGAATTTCAGAAATATTCTAACAGAAGGTGTTGGAGGTTTGAAGGTGAGTGTCATCTGATATTATGAGATTAGCTCCATTTGGGAAACCCTGGTTGCTTGTCATTTTCCTTTAGAATATTTGGAAATTTAGCATTTAGATACTTACTACTTTGAATTAGTTCTTCATTCAAATTTTGTTTTACTCTTAAGTACTGAAATAATTTGTTATTCTTCTGTTTAGCCAGTGCTTTTTGCTGGGTTCTCCTTTGTTCTTCTGGTCACCCTTTACATGTCACTGGTTAATCTTGTAATCATCTGAGTAAGTCTTTGCATTTTCTTTCTCCACAAATGGTAAAAGTCAATTTTACTCTTAATTTGTCTTGTAATTAGATCATAAATTTAGGAAAATATTTGCTCAGAAAATGTATTTTATCCTGCATACTCAGAGTTATATCTTGAAAGATACTGTGCTCATCATTAAGACCCAACAGCATTCTTTCTAATAGTTCCTTTGAACTTTGCCTTTTTAATGTTAAATATCTGGCTCTTGATCTCAGGTACCTCTGACTATCCAGTCATGCTCAACTTGATCAGTCTTTGAATCCTCTCCTCCATGGGTGTGACAACTTCCATGCCTTGAAACAAATAGTTTGAGGAAGGGGATGATCAAATGTGTAAATGTGCAGAACAATATTGAAAATTGTTCAGAGAAGAGGTTCAAACAAAAAGGATGCTGCTAGTGCAAAACAGTGAGATATACAAATTGCCATAAAACATTCTCTTGACCTGGGTCTTTTTTTTTTAAGTAATTTGGTATGATTTGTCATTTATCCCTATATTTTCTACTGTCCCCAACAGCTTGTAACCTTTGTTCAGTAGTCACATTATCTCTGACACATAGCATGAAAGAACGCTCTTGAAAAGAGTTGGAAATAGGTGGGATTGCAGATGTTAATGCCAGACATATTTTACTATTCACAAACTAAAACAGAGAGAAAAATAATAAACTTTAAATACGTAATCTCTGTATTTTAAAACTGTATATAACTCATGTTGTCTCTGACTGCTAGCACGGTTTGTAAATAGAGCACATTGCAATACCATTGTCATTGACATTGACAATGGTATTGCAAAGTACAGTTTTCAGGCTTTTAATCCAGTAATTAATAGGTCTTACATTTCTTTTTTGTGCTTTAATTTGGAAGAGAACCCATGACTATTTTACTGAAGCTCACTATTACTACCACTGTTAAGATGTGTTTAGTTCGGAAAAGATATTTTCTGTTTCTGGAGATAAATAGTTAAAAATGAAATATCAGTGCTTTGCCAGTTATGTGTTATATGGGTTTGTACCTATTTATCTTGTCACGTTTCTATGTACATGTATGCCAGTGTGTGCTGTCGTCTGTCTACTTCTATGTCTGCTTGCTTCAGGAAATGTGTGGCCTTGTAGGAATGTACACCTGTGCAGTTTGTTGTTTATGTTTTCAAGTTTTAATATATTAGTGATCCATCTGTGCAATCCCTGACATTGTCTGAATGTGGATTTTTCAGAATGGCACCTCTGTGGTCTCTGAGTGTGCTCCTCGCTGCATTCGTCCTGCTTCAGAATGATAGAGTTCATGCAGGTAAGAGGCTGAACCAACAATTCAAATCTTTATCATGTAGTCTGGTAGAGTAGAAGAAGTTGAGCCCAACTCTCCAAATTTGTCTCACTTTACTTCAGGCTAAATCACGTGTGCAACAGCAAATATAAGAGGACTACTGTGTTAGAATAGCCTTTTAATAACTAAAATTAAACAATTGCAAAGTTTATCTTGACAGGACATGCAAATGGAAATTTCTCACCGTTAGTAAGTTTGAAGCAAAAACATGAACAGCTAAGCCAAAGATAATACATGCATCTGAGGGAATTTAACCTGACTCTCATGACATTTGTGTATATTCACTTATTTCTTGGATTTAAAGGTTTTAAATAGACAAATTTACGATATTGGAAATTTTGGTAATGAGTCACATTAAATCCTGCAAAATTCAGATCCCATTAGAACTTTTACTAAAGTAAAACATAAGCTACATTCAAGTCTATATATAGATAACATGCAATATATATCTAGAATGTGATGGATAGATATTTATAATCAACTTATTCAGACATATCTCAGGTGCATGAGGGGAACCCTTATATGCTGGCTTTCTAGTCCAGAGTATGGACAATACAACTACACTACAAGAATCCATAAAGATGCAATGGATATGCCAAGGTGAAATTGCTCTGAAATTATCACACAAGCTGAAAAGGGTCATAAGTCATGATGAGATAGTAAATGTAAATCTCCTATTAATTAGTGATTTCTGCCGGTTAACCTCCAACATCACCACACAGAATACGACTACCAGGAAACAAACGGTTTATCAAGACTTTCACAAAAAAGTAGATCAATTGAATGCTCTAATACTTTGCTCAGTTTTTTTCAAGTGACTGCTGGTCAATTAATTAATTATTATAGCAGACCAGGACTTGCCTAAATGACTTCAATGACTGCTGGTTACTTACCTGATATACCCAGTGCCTACTAATTAACTAAATTTAAATTAATTTTGAATGAATTTATAGCAAATGCTACAGTAGGAGAAACAAATATGGGTCAGTGCCCTCAATTAATTGGTGCTTTCTAGGAGAGAGGAACATATGTGGAGGGGAGGAATTGTAATTGATAGCGTAAAGGGGGAGGAGGCTGTCATTGACAGTGGGACAGGAAAGGGCTTCAATTTTCAGCACAGGGAGGAACCGGGCTGTCATTTAGGGAGAGAGAGTGTGGGGCTTTAATTGTTAGCTGAAAGAGGGAGGGCTGTAATGGGCAGTCCAGAGGGAAGGAGCTGTAATTGTTTTTTATTCAGTCAAGGGATGTGGGTGTTGCTGGTTAGAAAAAAATATATTTTCCATTACTGTTACCATTGAGAATGTAAAGGTGAGCTGCCTTCGTGGTGCAGGTAGTTATTTCCAGGTTTTGACTCAGTGATGGTGAAAGAACAGTGATATATTTCCAAGTCAGGATGTTGAGTGGGTTGGAGAGGAGCTTGCAGATGGTTGTGTTCCCATGGTATGTATTGCCCTCGTCCTTCTGGATATAGTGGTTATGAGTTTGGAAGATGCTAAGAAGCCTCAGTGAACTTCTACAGTTCATCTTGTAGATAGCACACACTGTTGCTAATGTGTATTGGTGGTGGAAGGAGTGAATGTCAGTGTTTGTTAATATGGTGCCAATCAAGCAGGCTGCTTTGTCCTGGATGATGTTGAGCTCCTTGAGTGTTGTTGAAGCTGCACCCATCCAAGCAAGTGGGGACTATTCCATCACACTCCTGACCTGTGCCTTGTAGATGATGGCCAGGCTGTAGGGAGTCAAGTGGTCGAGTTATTTGCTACAGGATTCCTAGTCTCTGACCTGCTCTTGTAGCCAGTGTTTATAAGGCTAGTCCAGTTCAATTTCTGGTTAATGGTAACCCCCAGGATGTTGATGGGGTTGTGGGAATTCAGTGATGCCAACACCATCAATGTCAAGAGGTGGGTGGTGAAATTATCTCTTTATTGAAGATAATCATTGCCCGATTCTTGGTGGGAAGGTGATAGCCTAATAGCATTATCAGGAGACTATTAATCCATAGACCCAGATTATGCTCTTGGGACCTGGGTTCAAAGCCCATCATGGCAGATAATGAAATCTGAATTCAATTAGAAACTGAAATTAAGAGTCTAATGTTGACCTTTGCTGATTGTGGTCAACTCTTAACTACCTTCTGGGCAATAAATACTAGCCTAGCCAGTGATGCCAGCATATCAAATGAATAAAAAAAACAAATTGGTGTAGTGCAAATGTTACGTGCTACTTTTTAAGCCCAAGCCTGGATATTAGCCAAGCCTTGGTGCATTTGAACAGGAACTGCTTCAGTACGTGAGGAGTTGTACATATTGCTGAACATTGTGCAATCATCAGTGACATCCCCACTTCTGACCTTGTAATGAACGACGGTCATACATTAAGCAGCTGGTTGTGCCTAGGATACCACTTTAGATGACTCTAGCAGAGATGTCCTGCAGCCGAGATGTCTGACCCCCAACATCCCCAAATATCTTTTGTATCAGATACCACTCCAACCAGCAGAACAATTTCCCCTTGATTCCCATTGACTCCAGTTTTGCTAGGGCTCCTTGAAGCCACACTCAGTCAAATGTAGCCATGATGTCAGAGGCAGTCACTTTTACATCACCAATGGTATTCAACACTTTTGTCCATGTGTGAACCAAGACTTTAATGAAATCAGGAGCTAAGTGGCTCTCAGGGAACACAAATTGGGTGTCAGTGAGCAGGCTATTGCTAAGCAACTGCTGCTTGGTAGCATTGTTAAACACCACTTTGATCACTTTACCTCTGATTGAGAGTAGATTGAGGCTGTTATTGACTGGGTTTTAATTTCTTCTGCTACTTGTGAAAATGACAAACCTGAGTGATTTTCCACATTGTCAAGTAGATGCCAATGTTGTAGCTCTACTGGCATATTCTGGCACACAAGTCTTCAGTACTTTTGCTGGAATGTTGTCCAAGACCATAGCCTTTGCTGCCTCAAGTGCCTTCAGCCATTTCTTGATATGATGTGAATTAAATTGAATTGGCTGAAGACCACCATTCTCCCTGAACTCCTCTCCTCATAGTTGCTACCAATCACACCAACTCTCCATCAGAGCCCCTTTCCTTGCAGTTTTTCCCAATGCAACTTTTCATCTTGTAGCCTTTCCCTCATAACCTGTCTCCATTGGAGTCCATCTCCCTCTCCCCACTACAGCAACTATCCCTTATCAACTTTCTCATTGGTACAAGACCAATAATCAGGACTGAGCCAGTCAATTTCCGGCTGCTTCCCTCCTGAATCTGCTGCTGATAGGCTCACCAGTGACTCATTAGTCAGCCTATAAGCAACAAGCATGGAAGACAAGCAGCTTGTGATTGGCTCCTCATAGATTTTGTCATGTTCACATATAGCTGTGACCTTTTTCTCATTGGCCATCTTATATCATTCAATTTTCCATGATTTGTTGGGGGTAGTTTTTAAAGGACAAACTCAGCAGCTGGCTTGTTTATTTTGAATTCTCATGCTTCTGCCCATGAATTTTGGCTTCTTGCTCTTCAGCACAAGTAGTTACTTTTCGAGGAACAAAAACAAAGTTGCTGGAAAAGCTCAGCAGGTCTGGCAGCATCTGTGAAGGAAAAAAACAGAGTTAAGTAAAACAGTCTGAGGAAGGGTCACCAGACCTGAAACGTTAACTATGTTTTTTTGCCTCACAGATGCTGCCAGACGTGCTGAGCTTTTCCAGCAACTTTGTTTTTGTTCCTGATTTACAACATATGCTGTTCCTTCAGTTTTTAGTTACTTTTCCAGCCTCTCTAGAGGAACAACACAATTCCACTCTCCCTTACTCATTGTAACCAGTTGTCACCACCTCCTGAGTCACTAACAACTTTTCCAAAGTGAGCGTCTCTAGGATGATCTGGACATAAGTAAGGTACATAATGGAGTTAGTAAAGACAAATGGCACAGCCTGGTGCATCTAAATATTGTCTCTTCCTACAAGTGTCCCTGTATTTTATGAAATACACAAGTGCTTGTTAGTTCTGAAAACTATGACAAAATACAGGAGAAGATCAAACTTTAAAATAAGCTTATGATAGTCACAAAAAACTTAACACTGCAGATAGCATAAAGAAGTATAGAGAGTACAGAGGTCAAGTTAAAAAGAAAAGAAATCAGAGAAAAGGCATGAAAAAAAAAATTAGCTAGCAAGGTAAAGGAAAAACCTAAAAAGATGTTTTACCAGCACATAAACAGCAAAAGGATAGTTAAGGAAAAAGTAGGGCCAATCAGAGATGTAAAAGGAAACTAGTGTGAAGATGCAGAGGATGTGGGGAAAAACTTTAGATGATTTTTTTGTCTCTGTATTCACGAAGGAAAGGGATGGTGTAACCTTATAGTAATCCATGAGGAATGGTGTGAAATATTGGACAAATTAATCATAACCTGAGAGGAAGTGTTAAAGGAGTTAGAATCCTTAAGTGAATAAGTTGCCAGGGCTGAATGGATTGTTCCCTAGGATGTTGAAGGAGGTCAGGAAGGAAACAGCAGATGCTCTGATGATTATTTTCCAATCTTCAATAGACACAGGTGACATGCTGGAGGACTGGAGGAATGCAAATATGGTACTGTTGTTTAAAAAAGATACAATGTAAATGTCAATAAATTTATAAACCAGTTCGTTTTACTTCAGCAGTGGGTAAATTGTTAGAATCAATTCTGAGAGATTGAATGAGCTGTCACTTAGGAAGGCATGGACTAGTCAGCCTTTGTGAAGAGAAGGCCATGCCTTACAAATTTAATTGATTATCCTTGTCACATCCTCAAAAAATTAAATGAGAGTAGTGCAGGGATGTTTTCCACATGGATTTTAGTAAGGCATTTGACAAGGTCCAACATGGCAGACTGGCCAAAAAGATAAAAGCCTGCAGAATAAAGGGTGATATGTCAAATTGAATCCAAAATTGGCTTAATAACAGGAAACAAAGGATAATGGGTTTGTGATTGGAAAGCTTTTTCAAGTGGTGTTCCGCAGGGCTTGGTGTTTGGACCCCTGCTCTTTGTTTTATACATTAATGATTTGGACTTGAACATAAGGGACACAATTGGGAAATTTGCAGGCAACAGAAAAATTGGCCAAATAATAGAGGATAATAGAGGATAGCTGTGAGCTCCAAAATGATACAGATGGATTAGTGGAGTGGGCAGGAAAGTGGCAGATGGAGTTCAACTCTAAGTGTGAGGTAATGCATTTAGGGAGGTCAGGCAGTAAAAGGGTATACACAATAAATGGGAATATACTGACAGGGGTAGATGAAGTGAGAGATCTTGCACGTGCAAATGACAGATTCCTAAAGGTAGCAAGACAGGTAGGTAGGGTTGTAATGAAGGCATATGGAATGTTTTCTTTTGGCAAAGATATAGAATACAAGGATATAATGATGAAACTGTATAAGACACTGCTGAGGTCACGGCGAGAGTGTTGTGTGCAGTTCTGGTCACCGCATTACAGGAAGGATATAATTTCTCTGGAGAGAGTGCTGAGAAGATTTACTAGAATGTTTCCAGGGCTAGAGAACTGTAGCTACTAGGAGAAATTGAGAGATTGGGGTTGTTTTCCTTGAAACAGAGAAGGCTGAGGGGGTAACACGATGGTGATATATATGAAATGATCAGAGATACAGATAGACAGAAGGAACCTGTTTCCCTTGGCAGACAGTTCAAAAACCAGGGGTCATAGGTTCAAGCTGAGTGCCAGGATTAGACATGATGTGAGGTAAAAGTGTTTTTACGTAGAGGATGGAAGATATCTGGAATTCACTGCCTGAGTTGTTGGTGAACGAACAGACCCTAAACTCTTTTAAAAAGAACCTGGATCTGCACCTTAACTGCAGTAGGCTGCAGGGCTATTGGCCGTGTGCAGGAAGATGGGATTAGAAAGGGCATCTGGATGTCTTTGGGTCAGCATGGACAAGATGGCCAAATGCTCTCCTTCTATGCTGTATTATTTGTATGGTTCAAATAAACAAATAATATGTGGCAATTGCAATGTTTTGGGAGAGTAGTTGTAGCAGAGAATACTGAGAAAGGAAACAGCTCAATATATACAAAAATTCGATTTCACTTTGTGTGTGTCTCTATATCCTCTCCTGTCTTTCTATCAATGGTAGTCTAAGACGTACCCTACCATTTTCTTTGAATGATGGAGATTGTTCCCAAATTACTTCTGTTTCATTTTCTAACACTGTAGATTAAGGAAGAATGTAAAAATATCTCAGTACATTAACAGGTTGTTTGTTTCACTGTAACAGTTTTACTATACTTCCATGTATTCAGCTTTTCATTCAATCTTTCAATCTCTTATCTCAAAAAATGTTTTTATGTATCCTACTGGCACTGTGTGACTGAGAGGTGTTGTGTTTCTATTGTAGATGACGATGAACCCCTGGGCAGTCCATTTGTACAAAGAGCTGTACGTGAAGCCATTGAACTGGTGGACAAAGCATATAAGGGGACCAGAGTTAGGTGGGTTCTTTGCTTATGTAAGTGTCAGGTTGGGTTTTCCATAAGGAGCTCAACTCCCTAAATTTGTGTGGAATAAGGACTATCATATTTAGAATGCAAAGAACATCTTTTATGAAGAGCAAATTTCAGCAGAGACTGTCAATTTGAAATACAGAAGAACATGTTAAAATACTCAGCACGTAAGGCAGCTTTTGTATAGGAAGAAAAAGTTAATAGTTCAGGTCTGCCATCTTTCATCGCTTTTTTGTTGATGTGTTAGTTCATTCAAAGATCTGGTATTGTCCTAAATTGCTAACCTCTTATTCTAGGCCTATAAACCCTCGGCTGGACACTCCAGATAGTGAAAACAGCTTCTCTGCAATCTTTGAAGAATTATACACATTTCTGTGTTTTCATGCTACATTCTCATATGCCCAAAACAAAATATACCCATTCTACTCACTCCCTTTTCAAAGCACAGCCCTCATATGTTAGGAATCAAACTAGTGTGCCTTCACTACAGCAGCTAAGTACATTTTTCCTTACTAAAGAAGTGAAAACTACACACAATTCTCTAGCTGCTATTGCAGCAAGTCCTCTGCACTATTACAATGTACCCCCGAGAAAGAAATGCCAGCATACCACTTTCCTTCCTAATTGTGTAGTGTTGTACCATTTTAAAGCAGCAATTTGTAGTGTTCACTTGAAATTGCCCTATTGAACAGCACCAGTAGATGGAGGAAGAGAAAAAGCGGGAGCCAGAGCAGTAAAGCTGTTGGTAAAGTATCTAGACTGTTTAATTCTGCAATATTAAATCCTCATCTCTCTCAACACCTAAGAATCCCAAATCAGTCAAAAACCTCACAAATTGCTTGCTGCATCTTCTATTAGTCATTCTCTAGGGCACCCAAATCCCTCTTAATGCCAACATAATTCTCACCTTTTAACACAAATCCTTATACAATTGCTTTATCCATTGCTGACTTATTTCCATCCACCTTGCGGCTTGCTTTAGCTCCCAGCTTTGTATCATCAGCAAACTTGCATATAGTACACACAGTGCTCTTATCTAAGCCATTGATCAGTGAGTGAATCTCCATCACTGACTTTATGATTCTGACACTGAGTTGTTCATTTTAACATGCTATGGGTGTAGTCTGAGTCAGGATCTGAATTCCTCATTTTCTCTGTCTGACCTAAGTCTATTAATTTCCAGCCAAAAAGAGCGGCTGAGCAAAAGATCCTTGAAGGCTGGTGACCTCCTGCGTTTCTTCAAGCACCCAATGGCAGAGACCAGAGTTGCCGTGCGGTCAGCGGAGTACATGGAAAACACACTGCGCCTCATTCAGCACCACGTCCATCGAGTTCACAAACGCTCACTGAATGCAACAGGTCAGTTAGAGAACAAGAGACTGTGGCCTGGAGCACACACAAAAATGGTTTCATTGGCCCAGTCTCCTCCTCCTATCATTGCCAGTGAATGATATCACTGTGACTTTACAAATCCATTACAAACTGAGCCATGTGAGGATGACTCAGAAAAGTCACATTTGCAGGAAGGTGGTGCAGACAGGGGTCAGGGTGGGTGTGAGTCAGGGCAGGTTAGTGGTGGTGATTGAATTCAGTAAACCGAGAGGCTGTGTACTGTCTGCCTTGCAGCGGCTTACCCAGCATTTTACCGGATTGCTCAGTTCAAGACCTGCTTCTTGGGTCAGGTTTGTGCCCCAGTGAGACAGTCAATCTGTCCCATCCTTTCAGCAGGAACAGGATCAGGGTGGATTTCCTGGGAGGGGACTTTTGATTTGACAAGACAGTGTCAGCTCTAGCTGTTGCCCAATTTGAGAAGTCGTGCGATCATAAACACCCCCAGAAGCACCTATTTGGGAGCTGGGGAAGGTCTCCCTTACGTAGCCATGTGAATCACAGGTCAAACTCCCAGGGGCACAAACAGCAGACCATACAGTAGCACGAACCCACAGCCAGAACATGGAGTGTTTTGAACATCTGCACTGTTACCTAACCAAGAATTTACCAACTATAAATACTGCGGCTCCTACTGAAACAGAAAATTCAATTGTTGTTTAACAGGTGTAAGTACTGTGTGAATATCTCAGATCAGAACTGGTTAACGAGTGTGTGTGTTTCCTGCAGATTTGTTAACACCAAGTGACCTGGATGCCATTGCGCGTGTCACAGGCTGTCTAGCTGTACGTCAGCCCCCACTCTGTAAAAGCGACTGTTTTACAGACCGATACAGGACCTTCACCTCTGTGTGCAACAACAGGTAGGAACTGATGCTGCTGGTGACCACTTTGTTAAGGTCCAAGAAGGACCAGGAGGCTGAAATGTTTAACAGGTGGAGCGTTACGAAGGCGATGTACACTCAACATACAGCGAAGTTAGACCCACCCAAAATAGCAGATGACATCATTATGTCACATGTTTGGGCTCTTAAAGTGACAGTCCAACAAACATACAACATCCACCCCCTCCCCACGCCCCAATAAGAGATTCCTGCGATGAAAACATCCACAATATTGACAATCATGTATACAACAGTCAGTAGGTAAGACGTTCTGAGATGTCAATTCCTGTGTGGCTGTCAGCGCTCCTCAGGAGTCCATTTATTTTTCTCATGGACTTCGACATCATCTGTCATTGTCTTTTTCCTGAGACCACTGAATGTTTGTATAATGTCAGGCTATTATGCGCTAAGATACTGAATTGACAAGGTGACTAAAGTGTTTAATAGCAGGAGCTTTACGAAGGAGATGTTGCATCAAGGTTGGACTATTCTGTTTCCCAAATGATCAATAATGTCAACAGTATGTCACGTGATCAGACTCTTAAAGTGACAGACCACCATATGTACACAAACGCACACAATCATTGCAGCACACACTGGACTGGTCTCCTTTAGACGAGAGACGTTGTAACATGGAAAAGACATGCAGGTCAACTCTTCAAAACGAATGTGCCAGAGATAACATTCGTTGAAGATCCACAGATTCTGTGTAAAATAGAGACCTGGATCTAGCTGAGGACACAACAGTAACATCTGAGGGAGACAGTTAGTGAATGTCTGCATTTCTTTATCTTCGTTCTGATTAACATTTATTGATAAACTGTGAACTACGAGCACAAAAAAGGCCATGAAGAAAGATATGCTCTTCTGAATAATGGAAGTGAGTGTGTGCCATTTCTGTGGGGCATGGTCAATACTCCTTCATCACGTGGTGATTGGATGAAGATTTCTCATACACTGCAAAGGAAAGAACAGGCCAAGAGCTGGTCAGCAGCAGCTTCAGAGGTCAGAACAAAGTAATGACAGGTTTCAGCCTCCAAATGCTGCAGACTGAAGGCATCTTCAGGCTCTGCACATATTTCAGGCTTCAGGCAAAGCAACTTCAGGCTCTGTAGATCCAAAGGCTTCTCCAGCCAAATGTGACTGAGAGCAAATGCATAATCTCAAAATGCCCTTTACAGTTTCCAGGTGATGTTTGACTCTCCCATATAGGTGTATGGGCACAGAAGAACTCCTGAATCTTACGATTAATCACTCACTGCACACAATCTACAAACATTGAATTGAAACCAATAACTGCAAGAACAGTTCTGAAACTAAATAACAGCAATGTGCATTGATATGATGGCCTTAACATAGAAAATTATCACAAAGTGTCTCACCGAAGTGTACTGAAGAAAAATGGATAAAATCGGTTGAGGATGGAGGATTGGTTATTTCAAGACCATGTTGCAATAGTGGACTCTGAGATAACAACAACCTTTTAGCAGTCAATGAGTTGATGCAGGAGCAAAGGCAGACAGGATTGCAGAATGGCTTGTCATTGTGGAGATAAATTTCAAAGATATAGATTCAAAGTTCCTAGGGCTTTTCTGAGCAAAGGCAGGCCATGAAGCCAGGACATCAGTCAAATAGCCTGGTTTCATAAAAGCAAAGCAGGCATAGAGTCATAGAGAT